ATCTCTACGTCGGTTTTCTAGGCCACCCTAATATTAAAAGACGGAAATTTAGTTTAAGTTCATATTTTTGTATGTTAAAATTGGCCGATGAAGAAATTACTGTCGATTTCCAAGGCCTCCTATGTTAATAAGACGGATTTTTATTTTTAAGTTATCATTTGATTCATTTATTTTTATTCATATATATTTAGTACTAACACTTTTACTAAGTGTCTTTACAAATACCCCGAAGTCGCCTTTTACCGAAGCCATTCGAATAAAGTTCGAATACTATATTCATTATTATGTATATTGTTGACGATAGACAAATATTAGGTCCTTTCTCATATCACTTGTGTATATTGCATGTTTGTTATATTTGTATACTATTTTTACCTCCTCCTCAATTTGAAAAAAATGAATTTAGTCGGGACCCACCGTTGTGAATTTCGAAGGATGCCTAACACCTTCCCTTCGAAATAACTTGACCCCCTTACCTAGAATCTAATGGTTTCGTAGACATTTTTAATTGGTTTCCTAGTTTTTCCTAAAATTAGGTGGCGACTTCTTTAAAATTCGTTTATTCTTAAAATTCTTTTAAAATCGACTCAATTGATTATTTTTCGAGTTACCACGACATTTCACCCTATTTGAATAGAGTAGGAATTTAAACAATAAATATGTCCAGTTCTGATTTACTATGGTCCAAATAATAAATATTTTTCTTCTTCAAACCAATCATGCTTGTGACCATTTATATATGTCCTTTCTTTTTCTTCCTCTATGAATCAGTTGAACTTTAGACCATAAAAATCAGATCATATGGTCCTTACCCTTTTAATGTGTTGTTTTTCTTACTGTCCTTTTACTGCCTTTAGGTCTCGTAGGGTTTTAAATACGAGGCGTAATATGAATTTAGAAATAATGGGAAACGAAATTTGAACAAATTAAGTTTCTTTTAGGACGTGTTTGGTATGAAGGAAACAAAATTTGAACAACATATAATCCATTGTTGTTTTGCAAATTCTATTACAAGTATAGCATAATAGTGTTTTATTCTATTCTGAGAGAAATTAATTCAAACTTTGAACAATTATGAAGAAACTAAATTTCTTCAAAAAATACAATTTTATGTTACATTCGAAACTTGATTAATCTAGTATTTCTTCTATTTTCAGTGTACAATTTTTAACACATCAATAACATATCCTTTTATGATGTTTGATAACGGTACATGTGATATTCATGATCTTAGTTTCTAAGAGTACAGAGAAAAATGAATAAATTCGCTAATGAAAGGAACTTTATTTAAAACAAAATATAAAGAGGTCCATAATAAAGGGGAACTAATCAAGCCAATTTAATTCCAAAATAGTTTTTTTGCAAAAATTTAAGCAAGCAAAAAAGGAGGAAGATTCCAAAAAGCATCTTTCGATCCACCTTACAAACATCGAGTGAATATAAAACATGTAAACTTTTCGTGAGCTTATATTAATTCTTGAATATCTTCAATGAAATTTCTAATTTCACCATTGCATATTTGTCGACCCAACCACTAAAAAATACATAACTCTTTTTTTTTCTTTTCATATGAAAAATAAGAAAACTCTTTTGGCTCCGTTTTTTTATGTCTATTTGAGGACCTATGGGCTATGTTAATATTTTAGAATTTTGTCTTTTGTAACAAATAGACCTACAATACAAATTAGAGTAAAATCTATTCATAAATAATTAATCCGTAACTATTGTTTTTTTTCGATTTTCATGAATGTGTCTCCCCCTCCAAAAATAATAATATATAATTGTACTAATGCCATTCGTTTGGCGGAACCATATGGACTTGGTATAAAAGTAACATTTGTACGTGACCGTGCACATAAAACAATAATACAATGTTGGTTCGTTTCTTTTCCCTAATAATTCTTCCCAAATTAATTTAGGATTTTAAGAATTACGATCATAGTATATTGTCTGATCTGTCACATGACATAGCAAGTACTTTAAAACTCATATAGGGGCATGAAACTCTTAATACAAAATCAATAGAAGTGTTGAAAATGCTCCTAAACTTGATGATAATTTAGGGGTGCATTTCATTCATGTTGTAAGATATGGGCGTATTTCAGTTCGTAAAATAAATGAATGTTTTTAAAGTTGTCAATAATTTGAAATGAAACTAATAATTCGTATCACATTTAGGGGTGTTTCAATACTTCTCTTTATTATTATATAAAAATAAACTAAGCTTAAAAGAAAAAATAATAATAATCAGCGCTTATCGTGGAGGAGCAAAAGCTACGCCTTAATGTTCTGGATGCGTTAGATGTCGAGTCACAGCATCTTTGCTTAGTGGGGGTTAAAAACTTATCAACGCATAGAGTGTTTATATCAAATTAATAAATATATGTATGTATTTTTGCCTACACTTTTTTGGTATATAATTATGATAATCAGGACATATTTTTACTTAATTCGATCACTTAATTATATAATTGAATTGATTTTTATATAGATTTGAGTATGTAGCTAACTATTAAATATATACTCTATGACCTAGGTGGAATAGTAAGCGATGGATCCAAAAAATTTATTAAGAAGATTAAAAATAAAATAAAAATATAATTTTAAATTTATATTGCATTAATTACCATTACAATCAACTTCAAATCAACTATTTTTATCTAAATTAATAATTTCAAATCATGATTTAGATTTTTGGTAGATAGATGAACAAAGTCACTAATCTTTTTCTAATAAAAAGTCCCAACCTCAAATACGTAAAAGAATATAGATATTCTAACCCATTATATATATGGGTTATATATAATATACGTTCAAGCTCTGGGTCGTTTGGTTGGGAATAAGTTTTCCTAGGATTAGCTATCCTGGGATAACTTATCCCACCATGTTTATAGGATAACTTATCCCATCAGTATGATATAAATGGTGGGATAAGTTTATCCCAAACATGGCAACCAAACAAGATACAAATTTTATCTCATCACTATTTTCCTATCCTATCACTATTTTCATCTTTCTTTTTCTAGAACTTCATTTAGGGGTACTTTTTCCTTTTCTTTCTTTTTTGTATTTGGTTTATATTCTTTAGAAAAATCATAAAATTAACAGATTGAAATTTTTATCATCGTATAAAATTAAATCAAATATCTACATTTAAAACTACTAGCAGCGAACGATGTAGCATATTGTCAATTGCTCAACTAATTCCAATACTTTTTTCGAATTTCACTGAGTAATTGATATTATAAAATAAAATTACTATCATAAAAAAAATCGTTTTATAATTATTCAAATTTTAAATCCATCTCAACCAATAATAATAATAAATAAATATATATATATATATATATATCCCAAAATTTTCATAAAGAAAATTAAAAATATGGAAAAGATAAATACACAAAAAAATTTATCAAGGAGATCCATAATTATTTATTTTTCATCAAGATTAAGATGACCCTAACCTCTTTGATAAGTTGTTAGACCAATTTATCATATGATAACATCTTGTATATATCACTTTAGCCTTTTATATTTTGGGATCAGGCCTATCCATATATAACTTGATACAATCATAATTACCTCTTAATGATTTTCATTAGTTTTATTTAGTGATAATACCTTTTACATTGGTAATCAAAGATTAAAAGAATTTTAGGAGCATTCATTAAATGGGAAAACTAGAAAAAAAATTGGTACTTCTATTTTATTATATATGTAGTTAGCCTCAATAAAAAAAGAAGAAGCTTAATTGGAACGGTTCTTATACTAAACCATGCTAATTTACTACATTATTATATGATAAATTAATGTTAAAAGATAGATAATATGTTTTTTTCAACAACATTAACATATTCAGTTAATTTCCTCAAGTGAAGTTTGGGGATAGTAAAATGTATGCATATTGAGACTGTTTTTAAAGACTATCGGCCCAAATCAACAAATCCAAGTACAAAGAAGAAGAAAACATAGCAACTAACAAGAAAAACAGTGGAAAACCTACAAGAAAAGAACAAAATAACAAAATAGTGCAATAATTGAAACACAATAAACAACAAAGATAAAAGATATAAAAGCAAGAACTACAATAATACGACTAGTAAAAGACAAACACCTACATGCCTAAATCCTTAGAAAAGCAACATAACTTCACTACCTACTAACCTTCTACTCTAATATGCGTCATCCATACCATTTTATCTAAGGTCATGTCCTTGAAAATCTGAAGTTGCGCCATGTCTATCTAATCACTTCTCTCCAATACTTTTTCGGCCTACCTCTACCTCTGCTCGTACCTAATATAACCACCTCCTGCACATCCTCATCTATGACATCTGGGCATCTCCTATTCACATGTCTAAATCATTTCTTTCTAATTTCCTTTATCTTGTCCACCACGGTGGCCACTCCCACCTTCTTTATGATATCCTCATAGCTAATCTTATCGCTCCTTGTATGCCCACCCATCCATCTCAATATCCTCATTTTCGCGACATGCTCTAAACATAGAAAGTTCTTGACTAGCCAACACTCAGCCTATACATTTATGTTTTTATAATTAAAAATTGTTTATATTAAAGGACTCTAATTTATCTTTAACAATTATAACTTTATAGTAACATAAATACGATTTACGATCATAAGTTTCAGAAATCCTTTTATTTTTCTTAATTTTCACGAATGATATAATAGATTCAAATAAAATGAAACGGACTAAATACTTTTGTAGAAATTGTCGTATTGGGTAAAAGAATAGCTTATGCACAAGGTAGAACGAGGAGAAACACGTGACGCGTAAAACAAGTAAGAGATATTTATGAAGGCGTTTCGATGAAAACATAGTTTGGATGTTTTTTAAATTTCAAAAAAATTTCACCGCCAAACATTGATTTTCAATAAATTTAAATTCTTTTAATTACCGACTAACCTTCTACCCTTATACACGTCATCCACAGTCCACACCATGTGTGCGTGTGTTTTTTTTTTTGGGCTTTTTTGGCTCTCCTTTTTTCCTCCTTGTGTAGTTAGGATTCCACTTAGAATCCACTGTCTTTCTCACCCCAAAATCTCTCCTTTACCCTAAACACAAATCTTCATTTCATTTCTCTACATAAACCTCCTCTTCTTTGAGTAGTCTCCAGCCCCCACATCACTTTTCTCTCTTTTACCTCCCTTTTTGTTGTTCTTGAAAAGATACATTGAGGGGTTTTTTGGTTTTGGTTTAATGGATGAGAATAGAGACCTTTTATGTACAGAAACAGAAAGTTTTGATTTTGATGATCTTGATTCTTTGACTATAGGTCAAAAGAAGAATGAAATTAATAATAAAGATTTGATCTTTGGCAAAAATGGTAGTAGATCAGAGGTTTTGATTGATTTGCCAAAGATAAGTGAAGAAAGCTTTAGCTTTATGGTGAAAAGGGAAATTGATTTTTTGCCTAAAGATGATTATTTGAAGAGATTGAGGAGTGGGGACTTGGATTTGAGTGTGAGAAGAGAGGCTATTGATTGGATTTGGAAGGTGTTTTTTTATTGGTTTTAATTAACTCTTTTAATCAATTCAATACTATTAATCATCTATTTGTGGTTTTGACATTGGTTTATTGCTTGTATTTATTTATGATGATGATTGATTGTTAAGGTTGTAAGAAGAATCTTGGTTAAACCCCACCTCAGTTTAACAACCCCTGTTTGCATTCTTATTCTTATGCTAGTTTGGCAAATGCTGGAATTTTCATTGAATTCTAAAACCAATTCTTGAAATGGAGATTTCTGTTTGGTGTAACTTTCTTGGTGTTAGTAGTTTGGATAACATCAGTGGCGATCGATTGATTGATTGAAATGTGATTTCTTTCTGTATGTTCACTATTTATATGATGTCTTAATCTGTTTTAAATAGGAAGAATTTTGCTATAGTGATTTTCTGATTTGAGTTTTGTGTGTTTTTGCCTTGCAGGCTTGTATGCACTTTGGATATGGGAAGCTGAATTTTTGTTTGTCGATTAATTACTTGGATCGGTTTCTGTCTCTATATGAATTGCCTGTAAGTTCATAATCTTTGTTGTTCGGACTTAGAATACTGCCCGGTGTGTGTTGGATCCTCCAAAAGCTATCTGTTTAAGAGGATTCAATACTAGTGCTGCCTGCAGTATTTTTAAGGGGTCCGAACAAACATAGTTCACTATAGCATTTTGTTTCAGAGTGTTTGAAGTTTGAATGCTAACTGATTGTCTGCATTCTGCTGATTTGCATTTCTTGGATATTTATAGAGAGGTAAAACTTGGGCAGTTCAATTGTTAGCTGTGGCCTGCCTATCAATTGCAGCCAAAATGGAAGAGATTCATGTTCCTTTGATTGTTGATTTGCAGGTGACAAATAGTTTCGTTTGTTCCTTACCTATGTTGCTCGGACCCTTCAAAAAATGCCATCAAGTGCGTGTTGGATCCTCCAAAAGTAGTACATTGTTTGAGGATCCAACACGGGTGCGGCACCATATTTGGAGAGTCTGAGCAACATAAAGTTCTTTACACGTTTGTCATGTTAACAATTTATATATATATATTCTTGAACTAGATTGTGTAGTATAATCTCGAGTTTATGGAACAGGTTGGGAATCCTAAGTTTGTTTTTGAAGGCAAAACTATACAAAGAATGGAACTTTTGGTACTAACCACGTTGAAGTGGAGAATGCTAGCTTATACACCTTGCACATTCATTGAATATTTTCTAAGAAAGATGAATGACGATCAAATCCCATCGGAGCGTTTGATTTCTAAAGCAATGCAATTGATCTTAAGCTCCATAAGAGGTCTTCTCACTCACTCTTAATGAATCTTTTCGATATGATGAATTGATTTCTATTGTACTAAATGGTCCTAAGTCTACTAGTATTTGACTGGTGCTTTGAATGCAGGCATTGATTTCTTGGAATTCAGGTCTTCTGAAATTGCAGCAGCAGTGGCAATATCTGTTTCAAAGGAAATGCAAGCTAATGACATTGATAAGGCAATGCCTTCTTTCATACATGAACAAAAGGTAAAGTTTGTGGGGGCGCCCCACTTAATACAATCAAACCTCTCTATAACAGCGTCACTTATTCGTATAACATAACATGAAAAAGTCTTTCATTATATTAAAATGTTGTTATAAAGGATGATTAGATTCCTGAGGCAATAACTTATAACAACTTGGTTTATGTGGGGTTCTCTTTTGTTAAAAAAAAAAGGTTTCTTGGATTTTGCAGGGGAGAGTGATGAAGTGTCTTGAACTGATTCAAGATTTGACATTGGTTAGTGGGACTATGACCACTGCTACAACTATTAGTACTACTGCCTCAGTACCTAAAAGTCCCAATGGAGTGTTAGAAGCTGCATGTCTGAGCTACAAAAGTGATGAGAGCATAGTTGGATCACAAACAAGTTCAGAAAATAAAAGGAGGAAACTTGACACATCTTTAGAGGAGGGGACTTGACAAAAGTTATGAATCTTGAAATTCCACCCCCACCCCCTTACCCCCCACACCCTCCAAACAATTTTGGCTAAATGGGAGAATTTGTGTGGCTATGCAAAAAAATAAGATCTTTGAAGACAAAAGACAAGGAAGGATTGTCACAAGATGTTAATAACAATTTTGAAATGTCAAACAACAATAGTAGTAGTAGTAGTAATAGGAGGTTGTGGAGGGGCAAAGATGGAATTTTGAGAAGGGCTATCTATTAAATACTTTAAATACTTTTTGCTCTTATGCCTTTTTTGGGTTACTATTGTAATTTCAAATAAAGACGTATACAATGGAAAAAAAAGTAAGGAATAAAAGGTAGTTGGAGGCCAAGTGGATTATAGCAATAATTAGTTCTATTTATAGTGGAAATGAAATGCATTTACATGGTGCTTCATATATCCAATTTTTCTTGGAATTAAGTAAAATAGGTGTTAAGGAAAAGATAAATCCTAATACTAATTCAAGAAGGCATTTTGAACTTGAATTATTTCTATGCTTATAATGGTATCAATGTCTTGTACAAACCAAAAGTCTTGTCTAAACATAAATATATAATTTCCTTTATTCAAAAAACATTCACATTTTTCTATGTTTTGCAAATTCTTTGATTCTAAAATTATTGTTCTACACTTAAGGACACTCTCGTTTAAAAATGACATGACATGTGCAAGGTCACAGATTTTCATTGTATTTTGAAATGTTGAACATTTATGTTGTGTTTAAAAGTTTTTCTTAAACATTATTATAGAAATTACATGACTTGTGTATATGTATATATAGTAATATTGTAATAATTCGATCCGTCGTTACTTAAGGGCATTTGGTGCAGAATTCAAAAATTCTGAAAATACAATGTCAAAGTTGAAAATTTGAGCACACAATGAAATTAATTTGCTTGAATGAGCTAGGCTCACGTCAACCCACTATAGCGCGTTGAGGGGAAATCAGAGCCTAATTATGCGGCTTCTTTTATTGTTCCTCCCACTTTTGAAGGAAAAAGATAAACAAGGGCTGCTCCAAAAATTCTCCAAAGGCACCCGCGGGAAGGGAGCAATGAGGGAGGGGGGGGGGGGGGGGGGGGG